AAACTAAAAGAAAGTATTTTTGTTCAATTTTATCGACAACGTTGCTATTGCTGAATAATTTTATTAAAATGTTAGCTTAAAAGATTTAAACTTTTTTTTTAATTTTTGAATTTTTTCTACTTCCAAATAATGAGCATATTTAATTTTTTTAAATTCAAACTTTTATTTCAACTGCGAGCGGTTTTTAAAATACTTTATTAAATGTTAAAATAATCGTAAATTACTTCATTAAAATTCCGCTCAAAAATATCTTTAAATATACTCAAACAAAAAATTTTTTGCTCGACGCAAATAGCCCTAGCTACACGCAAAATCGCCCTTGGACGACGTAAAATTCACATCGCCCGACGCTTTATCGCAAGGCCTGATATATATATATATATATATATATATATATATATATATATGCGTGTGTGTGTATATATATATATATATATATATATATATATATATATATATATATATATATGCGTGTGTGTGTGTGTATATATATATATATATATATATATATATATATATATATATATATATATATATATATATATGCAACCCTCGGAATTAGGAAAATTGAGGTCAGCAAAAATAATTTAATATAAAGGTCTTACCATATCGGGTGGACACGGAAAAATCCTGTCAACTTTAAATTGAGATTTTTCTAAAACCACAAATGCTTTTTATTTTAATTTTTTTTTAATTAAACATTCCTTGTACTATGTTTAACAAATGTTTATCAACACAATTAAAAATAACTTCCTTATCTTTAATTGTGTTAATAAACATTTGTTTACAAATCAATGATTTATAAAATGATTTAGAAATCAAATGATGTGCGTAAATAAGTTGTGAATTTTTTTTGCTAAAATCCATTGACTTCATATCGCTTGATTGCTAAACGTACAATTGTCTAAAAATCTACAGTCATAGATATTATAAATAAGTTCAAGACTACTCAAAGCTTCTAAAGAAAGCCTGGGAGTGGAAGAATGAAAACTTTCCATAAATCCAAAAATGTTAAGTCCATTTTACGTTCAAAATGAAGAAATCCAAATCAGTTAAAGGGAGATCTAGCAAGAAAGTTCAAGATTTTGCGTTTTTATATCAAAAAAGTAGTTAAAAAAGCTGGAATTAAAGCATTTCACTAGAAAAATACATCTAAGAGAAGCTTAAATGGTGAAATTGAAGGAATTCAACGTGCAAATAAGTTGGTTAAAATAATGGCGGATAAAAATATGTGTATGATTGCAGACGGCAAAACATTGCAAGGTGGACATTTCACAGCTTCCTGGTCAAAAATTTTACTATGAGAACAAAAAATAAACCTGTCGATAATTAATTTAAATATATTCAACAAGAAAAATTTGCATCCAAGTTCCTTGTGTGGCAAGAAATTTGTAGCTGTGGTATGCAGTCCTCTTGTTTTGTCACTAAGAAGACCTTGAATGCCAATCTTTACATCAAAGAATGCCTCCTAAAAAAGACTTTTGCAATTTAAGAAGAAACACAAATACCGATGTCTCTTTTGGCCATATCTTTCTGCTTCTCACTATTCTAAAAAAATTCGCAAGATTGAAGATTTTTAGGCAATAAGGAGTTCTTCATAAGATAGGTGGAGTAACAAAAAATAGAAAGAACTACCAAAAAAAGTGGATTTATGCCACCAATAAGATGAAAAAAGAAAAAATCTGCAAAATGATGGCATCAAGCCGCTATAAAATTCAATCTCTTGATCAAAGATTTTTCTAAAATCATAAAAGCTTTTTATTTCAATTCTTTTATTATTAAATGTGTTTACATCAATTAGAGTTTCAACTTATTTTTAAGGGGCTTGATGGGTTGTTTGGCACCCATCAAGCCCCTTAAAAATAAGTTGAAACTCTAATTGATGTAAACACATTTAATAAAAGAATTGAAATAAAAAGCTTTTATGGTTTTAGAGAAATCTCACCTTAAAGTTGACCGAATTTTTTCATGTCCACCTGATAAAACATTGAAACAAGTTCGACAATATTTTGCCAACCCTAATTCAGAGGGTTGTATATATATATATATATTCTAAAAAAGAGCGAATAGAATTAGCATATATAAGCTGTTGGAACTTGTTGGAAAGAAATGCTGCAGAAGACATTAAATAAGAATCTATATATTTTATCATGAAATAAAAATCTCATTCTTGAAAGAGTTTCTAGAAAAGTCAATTTAGTTTTTATTATTAGTCAATTATATAAGTCAAATAGTTTAAATTTATTTTATTTTAATATTTTTTAAGTTTTTTCTCTACTTTATATACTTTTTTTAGTTATGATCAATATCAAGATTTGACTTTATAAATTAAAAAAAAATGCATTAGTGTTTGCTGTAAATATTTTGTTGCATCAAAAACAACTCATCAGGATACACATTTCTAAATATTTCTTATTTTAAATGTTTTTATGCTGTATGTTTGTTTCCATTTTTTAAAGAAAGAAGCAAAACAGTGTGTCAAAGTTAAATATCAGCAGAGTTATGCAAGAATGATTTACATCATCTAAATTTTTCAAGTTAATCAAAATTATTGAATTTGGTTTTAAAGAGTTTTTCTAGTTCAAAATCCTCAGATTGAAATCAAACACCTGGAAACTTTGTTTGTTTAGCAACAGTCTAAACACCTAGCATATAGTCTTGATTAATAGTATTATTGTCATGGTTAGTTGTTTTATTTTCATAAATCATGTTTTTGATCTATTTTATAATTAGTACTTAGGATGCATCTCCTTGTTTTATTGCATTTACATATCTTATGATTATAAAGCAATCAGTTTTATACCAGTTAAGTCATACCATGTGCCTTTATTGCATGCTAGAAATATACAGTTGATTTGTACCTGTTTTTCTAAAAATTGGTAATTTACTATATTATGGGTATTCTTTTTTTTTTTTTTTTTTTTTTTGTTAAAAAAAAGTGGTATGACCCACTTTAATATGCATAAATATCCAAAAAAAAGTGGTTTTAAATATCCATAAGTATCCAAAAAAATTATAACTTATAGCTTAATTGCTATAACAATCATTATCATTCATAAGCTTTTCCAAAAATCATAGATACCATTAAATAATTTTAATCTTTTTTTGATGTGTGTCTTTTTGTGAATCTTACCTTGTGTGTTGAATCTTACCTCTTGTGAAGTTTATTAAACTTATTTGCTCTTTCTAAGACTAATTTAAGTTGTGTTGCTTCATCCTCATAATCCATGGCTTCACTGATTTGCAAAGGTTCTAATAGTCTTTATGTAAACCTGGTCATATACTTACATGTAAAATTTACCTGTTAAACCAGGTTTTGAATTTTGTGGCTATTTCAGTATAAAAAATTTTTAAGCCAAAATTTAATCTTGAATTTTAACAGATGTAGTGTTTTTTTATATTTTTTTTGTTTTGAAGTTGCTGTTTCTGATTGAACTCTCTTGTGCAGTTGCTATTTCTATTTTTTTAAATCTAATGACTAGACTCTTCCTAGCATATCAGAAAAATAGTTTTCTTACTATTGTTAGTGCAATAAGTTTAGTCATAACTCTTTGACCGCATAGAACTGGCAACTCAACTTCAATCTGATAAATTTTTTTTTGTGACAGCTTTGGGCTTGCAGTGGCTGGTGAAGTTTTTTGTAAACAAAGCTATTTGCTTTTGTTATCACAATAATGGTGATAAAATGATGAATGACAAACTCATATTACTGATAGGTGGCAAACTCTTTCTAAGTTCTCTACTTGACAAATGATCATGATGTGAATTATTAGATTTAAGTATACTTCAATTGCAAAAGATTGTGATGTGAATTATTAGATTTAACTATACTTCAATTGCAAAAGATCATGATGTGAATTAATAGATTTAACTATACTTCAATTGCAAAAGATTGTGACATTTACAATTACTGATGCAATATTGTTGTAAAGTTATAATAAAATACAATTAGTAATGATTTCCTATTCTAGAAAAATGAGTTACTCTCACTTGCCTCTCACAAGTTTAATGTCTTGATTAAAAAAATTTTATTTGAAAAAAAATTTTTCAAATAAAAAAATTTTATTTGAAAAATTATATTATACTTTTATTGTAGGTTTTTTGTAATTTCATATTAGGGGCATCCACAAAGTACATATACAGTAAAACCACTGATTTAGGACCCCATCTCCTCTTGTACATATTTGCATGCTTTTAACAACCTCCTTCTCCTTCCCCCTCCTTCCCTTATGCATATGTATGCATTATTAGCTACAAAATCACTTCATCCTCTTTCCCTTTTCCACCTTTTCTTACCCAATCTTATATTTTCAAAACATAAAAAACAAACTAACCTTTTGTTAGTTTGACATTTTTTTGCTACTCAGCGTAATATTTGTTTTTTTAAACTCATGAAATTCAATGCTTATGTTAAAAAAAAAGAGATCAAGTTAGGAGAGAAAGAGAAATATACAAACTGCATACTTCTTGCTGTCTTTAACAACCCCCCTTTTCTACACATTCATATGTTTTTGAATTACCCCCTCTCCCTCTACCTGCATACAGACTTTATAAAAGACATACAAAAAACATGCAAAATTAACATAATTTACAAAAAGATTTTGCATCCTGTACTGATGTAATTTTTGTTTGATCGAGACTAGCAATAAATAACAAATTATCAATAACACTGTGGCTTTTAGTGCTAACTTTTTGTTTTGTTTAGTTTAAATTCAAATTTTCATTACTATAGATTATTATAAACAATCATTCTTTTTTGTACTTGTAAATCTTTCTATTATCTAAATCTTTATCTGTTATCTAAAGACTTGTAAATACATCTATTTTGTTTTCATCTATTTTGTTGCCCCGTCTTTTTTCAGAGAGTAGGCTGACATAATGTTTTCTATTTCATCTTTTTTTATTTGTTTGTTTAGAAAATTTTCTTTAAAGTATTTTTCTTTTAGTATTTGTATATATAACCTTTAAATATACTTTTTTTTTTTTTGTGCAAAATATAGCTCTTAATGTGAAGGATTTGGATACAATTGATTATGGCATCATGAAAAGTATTGGTGCTGAAGTAAAGCGATCCGATTGGTCTATTATAATTGCTCATTTTCTTGGAGTAGATCATTGTGGGCATCGTTATGGTACTAACCATCCAGAGATGACAAGAAAATTAAGTGAAATGGATTCGGTGATAAGGTTGGCAACTAATATATTAGTAAATCCTGGAGTTATTGTAAAATTTAAATCATTCTACTGAAGTGTATGTGGATTATGTGGAGTAGTTCAATGCATATTTTTTTGACTTTATTCTAGCGATTTGACTGCTAATATTGATAATGACACAATTTTATTTGTAATGGGAGACCATGGAATGACAATAACCGGTGATCATGGTGGTGATAGTAGAGATGAAGTTATGGCTGGTTTGTTTGCTTACAGTAAAAGGTCAATTTTCAAACCATCCCAGGTGAATTTAGTTTAGTAGGGTAAATAATCTAATAAATCTATTAACAGTCTATTAACAATCTATTAACTACTAAAATTATAAACAATCTATTAATCTAATGATATCTACGGGGGAGAGAAGGGGAGAGGGGGCCAAAATTAACTTTACTTTAGTAGTTTAATCACTTTTTCATAATTTTTTATGCTGATTCCAAAATTACTTAATACTTTTTTTATTATTATTATAAATATTTCTTTTAATTGAATTTTAATAAAAGTTATTATTTTGACAATACAATCAATTGTTAAATTAAATGAAATTTTTAAATTGTTAAATTAAGTGAAATCTTTAAATTGTTATATTAAATGAAAAATAATAATTATTAAATATAAGCAAAGTAGAATCCATGATAAATATTTTTCTTTTCATTTTATCAATAAAATGCGTAATCATTATGTGTGGTTATAAATAAATCAAAAAATTAGGCATTACACATGAAGTTAGTCAATATTAGTCAATATAGAAATAAGTAACAATTTGTAACGATTATTAGAGAAAATCTAAAATAACTTCATAGCAGCCATGACGCAGTGGCTGGTTGGAGTTCTTGCGTAGAATCAAGAGGTCTGATGTCAATGCCGGCTCTGGCTAGATAAACAACATTGGTAAGGAAGGAGGCATGAGTTTCTTAGTTAAATTGCTCTTCTATGGTGCTGTGTAAGAAGACCCTTGGTTCTTCTTGGAGCATTTAACAAATTTGATCTTCGCAGCTTTAAGTAGGGTTGATCTTCGCAGCAATCTACTTGTATCCCTGAAATAATATCTCATTCTTTTATCTTTATTTTTTTAAATATATTGATTGATATCTGATTTACAAGTGAATGAAAAAAAAAGGTTATTGTTCCTTTTTTTTGCTTTGTCTATATTTATTGTCTATCTTCTCCACTTTGTCTCAGTTGTCACTGGTTTTGACTGTATTTTAAATTTTTTAACATTGGGACATATTTACCAAAATATTTCTTAATTATCTGAATTTTCATTTCTTAACGGGTTTGGATATTTAAATTTATTACCACAAGGTTGTAATTAAGGGCGTTTCAGAAGCTAATTGCAATGCTTGATGTTTAAGTTCAATCTTATTTCTATTTTTTTATCAACTCAGAAAAAGTTGATTAAAAATGTTTTACTCAATAGTTATTCCATTCATGTATCTTTCTCCAAACCCATAATACTTTTATCTTTTCTGTTGAAAAAATATAGCTAATTTTGCCTAATTGTATTTGCTAAAGTTACACAATCATCCAAGTTCTTTGATGCATATTTACAAAGTACTTCTACGACTACTGAGCACTAATCTTCTTGAAAGTCAACAAAAATTTATTGTTGACTTCATTAAAGGCAAGTGCAAGAACAACCTTGAGTAAAGGCATCTCTATATGATAAAATTCATTAACTACTGAGAGATTTTTAAAAAATTTTGATTTAAAAATTAGTTTGGTTCTTCTTGTTGCTATATTTTTAATCGCTAGTTAAATTTATAAAAGTAAAAGCAAAGTATTTTCTAGCTTAGTAAAACAAAAATTTTTACTTTAGGTAAAAACTTTTTATTTAAATATAACTTTTATTCATTTTAATTTTAATTTTATCCAATCAAAATCTTATGTTTATACTTATGTAATTAATTTGCATAAGTTTTAACATAAAGTTGCATAAGTTTTAACATGAAGTTGCGTAAGTTTTAACATAAAGTTGCATAATTTTACTTGTACTCCCATAGAATGAACTGCAAAGTTTTTTAAGTTTTTAATATCTTTAAAATGTAGTAGAAGTAACAAAAAAGTAAAAACTGGTTAAAATATCTGGTTAAATGAAAATAATATAGGATTTTGGACCCCTCAACCCTTCCCACGCCCCCCTTTGCCCTATAGTTACTTTCGTATTTATTAAAAACTTTTCAATGAAAAACTTTTTTTCCAGATAAAGTTCAAAATGTAATAGTTTATTTATGATACACTTTATCATTTCTATAAAATCATTTGATAAGAAACTTTTAAATAGGCTAAAATATGTTTTTTAAAGCTACACATTAAAAATTTATTTTTTTGAATAAAACAAAAAAGTTTGTTTATTACCACATTTTATTTGTGTATATATTTGTTATTAGAATATCTAAAATGAATTTTTTAAGAGCCATTAGATTATTTTATTTTATTAGAACAACATGTACCTGAACTTAATATTTCGCAACTTATATGGTGTTTTGATATGTGGTTCTTGTGATATACCTTGATAAGTCACTTAACTACCCAAACCACATTACTACCACGTAACTCTTGCTGTTTATATGTGGTGGAGAAAAGCTGAAAAAGGCAAATTTTTTATGCAGCTAAAAATTAACTTCTTTATATTTTATTTAAAGCCATTGAATTAAAATAACACAATATTTAGCTATATCGTGTCTTTTCTCACCTTTTAGTAAACTTGGTAATAATATTTGTTTTGGCAGTACATGTTGTAGCTGATATAAAAACCTGTTGATTAGACAGATAAAAAAACTTGTGCTTGTGAAGTGCATACAAGTTTCCAACAAGTTCTCTCATCGAAAGAGCAAATATTTTATTGCCAACCTCTAAATGTTTCAGGTCGGCAATTTATTGCAAACCTTGTTTTTCATGATACCAAAATAGCAACCTTTTTTTTCCTGATTCCGAAGTTTGCTTAGTTTTTTTTTATTAGTGGTTTTAAAAATGTTGTCTATATTTTAAAAAACAATATTTTTACATTAAAATCCCAATACATGCAAAACAGCATATTCATTTTCAGGTTTTTATAATTTAATTATATTTAATAATTTTTTAAATATTATTACAAAATATGATTACAATCTATGTAATATCAGAGACAGTTGAACTAAATTTAAAAAAAAAAAACGGAGTTTAATAGTTTGGTCAACTTGTTTCTTTGCACAGCCACCTTATTTGTTAAGGCTCCTGTTTTAACTTTAAAGAGTCAAGAGATGGTTGTATTACAAACAGTTATTAGAATACAACAAAATTCTCTCGTAAAAAGAAAAAAATCTTGTTCTTAGGGAGATGAGATCAGTAAAAAAAAAAAGAGTATTTTTTTAATATTAGAATTATGTATAAATAATTTATAATTGTAGTTCAATCTTTTTTAATTATTTAGTTATGTTAATCTAGTTACTTAATAATGTTAATCTAAATATACCATCAAGTTTATATAATTTATATTATCAAAAATTAAATATTTTAAAACTGTAAATTAATAATTTTCTAAATAATTTTTTTGTAGCAAGAAGCATAAAACAATAAAACTCAATTAAATTATTTTTCAAATTTTTATTCAAATGTTTAATTTTATATTCAAATGTTTAATTTTTTAAATATAAAATCATTTTTAAAAACATAAAAACTACAAAAAAAAAAATCAAGGGTTTCTTTTTTCGAAAGATTTAGCAACAGAATTGAGAGATTGAGTTTTTCAGTTTTTTAAATTCTTTTCTAATTTGAGTTTTTTTTTTTAGTTTCTTTTCTAATTTAAGTTTTTTTTTTGTTTTTTTTTCTTTTGAGATATCTTCAAGATAATGATTTACTTTTCTCTTGAAAAAATCTATTCAGCTTTTTTTCCATTTCTTTTTTTATTTCTTGTGTAGTGTTTTATACTAAGTTAACTATAGCTGGTTTAGAAGATATTAAAAAAGGATGTGTCGTTGGCACATTGGATTTAAAAATGTTGTTTTTTTAAATGGTTCTGAAATAGCTAATGCTTGTTGATGAATGAAATGACCCAAGATACTGAAATCCAGCAATACCATATATAACATAAAACACTCTCCACTCCTATAAATTAATCTTAAAAAAATTAAGTTTTTTTACTTCTTGTCTAATTTTTAAGTAAAAAAAATTATTCAATTAAAATAAAAATTCAATTTTTGACACAATCTTGTTACCTTGGTAACAAGATTGTGTCAAAAAACTATTTTTAAATAAGATTTGGCTCCTGAGTTTTCACGATTCTGAATGAAATAAAAAACCATAAACTCAAAACTTTTTCAAACTTTTATAAAAAAAAATTTGGCTATAAATAGATATTTGAAATTGCTTTTCATATTCAAATGAAGGAGAGAAATAAATTTTCCCCTGTTGTTTTTCATTTTTGAAATATTCGTTCGGGTTTCCATTTCAATAATTTAATCATTGATTGAAAAGATAGTTTCATTGGTTTTTACTAGTTTACTTATAATATAATTTATTTTTTTTAAACTTAATAAATATCAAATAAAAATTATATATACATATACTGTTTTAATTTAACATTATTTTTATTTTTACCTTTTTAAAAAAATTTTATACAGCATGATTATGCTCAAATGTAATATATATTATTTAAATTCAATACTAAAATTACAGAACAAAAAACTTTTTTTTTCAAAAAAAAAAAAGTTTTTTGTTCTGTATGCAATTTTGAAACATTTCAATAAAATTGCATTATATGTATTTTATGCAATTTTAAAACATTTCAATAAAACTGTGTTTTTTATTTATACAAATTGTATTATTTAACATATTACTATTTATACAAATGCGCATTTTATTGCATAATATGTATTTTATTGCATAATATGTATTTTATTGCATAACATGTATTTTATGACTGTATAAAATAAATTTAATGCAGTCATGTTGCACATTATGTTGTAGTTGCGTCCATGTTGCATGTTATATTATTGATAAATTTTATTTATTTTGAATTAGTTGAATGGTCAGCATCTGCCCACTGTTTCTCAAATTGATCTTGTACCAACATTATCACTGCTTCTTGACCAACCAATTCCATTTTCAAACCTTGGTTCAATAATTCCTGACTTTTTTGACGGAGATGTAGAAATGTTTATACCTGAAAATTTAAAGCAAAGAATAAAAGAAAAAATATCTGTCAATGTTTTTAAACAAATTAACAAAGTTTATTTAGCTCAAATTAACTGCAAGCAAATCCTTGCATATATAGATCAATACCAAACTTTCTCTGATGAACTTCCTTCAGATAGAATTGAAATGGCAAGAGCAAGTTATGAGTACAGTGTAGATAAATTTAATGAGTTGTTACAGATTATAGTTGCTATTGACTGGGAAAATGAGACACTAATTACACTTCATTCTAAAGATATTAGCGAATATGTTAAAGAAATGCAACTTTTAGATCAGTCATTTCAAGATGTCCTTCAATCAATAAAAAAGTTATGTAGAAATGCCTGGGCGCAGTTTGACTTGATTTCAATGTGTTTAGGGTTGTCATTAATGGGATTTATATCTGCTACTTTATTTATCATGTTTTATTCAACTAACGTAAATTTGAAAATGGAGACAGGAGTTTTTAATGCATCAGTATGCATCATTGGTTTTATTTTTACCTTAGTTGGGGTAGCATATTTAATTGTACCGATGCATCTAAGTAATGACACATCAGCATTTATAGTTTTTGGAGCTATTTCTTTCTCATTTAGTTTATGGCTTACAGTATGTGGTAGTTTCAGTTTGTGGCTTACAGTATTTGGTAATATACTTTTATTTAGAAATTTAAATCATGTTTTTAACTTTCAAGTTTTAATTCAGCAACTCAGTATTAAAGGATGGTTATTTTTAGTTGCTTTTCTGGCACATTTAGGATCCCTTTTTTCTAATAGTTTTATTATTTATGAAGATGTTAGCACAATGTTCTTACTTCAATCCTTGGTTTTGTTTTATGCATTTTCATGTTTTTTAATCTCTCTAAAGTGTTATAAAATACAAGCTGCAAAAGATCTGAGATCAAAGTGTTACATGCAGTTAAAAACGGTCGTTCTTAACTTTTGCTTTAATAGTGAAACATTAAAGATTACTGCTATTTTTTTGGTATTACTAGTTTGTATTCGATTAACAAAAAACTTTTGGTTTTGTAGAGAGATGCAATTAACTTGTGTCGTTTCAACATACTCTCTGCCATTATCAGCTTTAATAACAGACTTTACAGATCATTATGCTCAGGAGAGAATTTTTTTAGCTATTGCATCACTTTTTTCATTATTGTTAATAACACGATGGTATTTACACAAGCGTGGTAATTTGTATGGCTTTAGTTCTATTGCTTTTGTTATGAAAATTTTAGCTGTTTTATGTTTCTTTTTCATGGTTTTACATTGGATTTTTCTATTGATATTGAGTCATCCTATAGCCTCAGTGTTTAACGTGCTTTATTGGCAGCAAGTTTTTTTCCCTCGGATTGTTTACATTTGTTTTATTTTATCAATTATTTTACTTTCTATTAACCCACTTGGTTTGGCAGTTGTTTTTCAAAATCAAAAGAATCTTTATCAAAATATTTCTGTACCAGAGTTATTTCGAGTTCTTAAAGACAACATCTCTAAAAGGTTATCAAAAGAAGCTTCAGAACCTCCATTGGTATATGGTCTTCAGACTGTGTATTCTTCTGCGTTTATTGTATTAGCTTTTAAATTAACAGTTGTTATATGTTTAGTTTTAAGTGATGGAATGATTTTTTCTGTATTGTTACTATGGGTAGCAGCATACTGTGTGTTAGGAATTTTCGGCTTTGGTTCGTCTGAGAAGCCATGGGAGTATGGTAAGATATTTAATTAAATTAAAAAAATTTTGTACTGACAGCTTTTTAATGACTTTTCATTATTTTATTTCAACTTTTTATAATATTTTTTTTATAATATTTTTCTTAAAGTTCATTTGTTGATTATTTGATTCTTGTTTTGCATAATAGCAATAACAATTTATTTTTAAATTTTTAGGAGATATGTTTTGCAGTGTTCTTGTATGGAGCTTCTTTTCAGTTTATGGATTTTTTGGAACTGGTCATCAGACAACAATTCCTGCAATACGTTTTCCTGCTGCTTATATTGGTTTCGAAGGCTCTTCTACAGAGATAGTTCCACAAGGTAAGCTTAAGCATATGTGTGATTGTATTATTGGGAAAATGTAAACTTTAAAATCAATTTTATATATATATATATATATATATATATATATATATATATATATATATATATATATATATATATATATGTATTTTATATATATATATATATATATATATATATATATATATATCAGGCCTGTAGCAACCGGGGGCTCAGCAGTGGTATTTGCCCCCCCCCCTCCCCAATAATTTTTCAAATAAATAATTTTGATAAAATTGACTGAAAAAAGACTTTAAAAAAAAGTCCTTAAAACTATTTTGGAGCCCCTTAGTCCAGCACTGCCCCTCCCTTCCCCCCCCCCCCTCCTCCAATATAATTTTTGTTCCTACGGGCCTGTATATATATATATACATATATATATACATATATATATATTTATATTTATATATATATGTTTAATTTTTTTTTATCATGATTTCTTTCACTAGTAATGGTTATATTGTTGAATACATTTGCTTCTCAAATTGTTTGTTCGTTGGCTCTGCCTTTGCTTTTTTTAAGCCAAAAAAATAATTTTTTTCGCGTTGATGAAAAAGATAAAGTGGCGGAAGTTCATCTTGTTGACAATGGACACAGTTCTCGAATAAATCTTTTTCGATTGTCACTTCTCTACATGGCTATATTTATGTGTAAAGTAGGTTGTTTTTTTTTAATGTATGTTTTTTTTCTTGTAAAATAGTTATTGATGCTGTTAATATGGTGATCGAACTCAAATTAGGGAAGTGGGAGAAATGCTATTCTTTTAATCTAATTTAAAAGAATAAATCTGTGTATTTGAAAACCAAATGTTTTAATACGTTTCTCAACATTATTAAATTTAGGTTTTTATCACGGCTTCTTCAGCTACTCTTCACCGCAGGCATCTCATGGTTTGGAAAATTTTTGCTCCAAGATTTTTATTTGAAGCTGTGTCATTTCTTATCAGTGTTCCAATATTGCTTTTGGGTTATTGTTTTTATCTTCGCATTGATAGTTGTTTATGTACACGTCTTGAAAAACTAGAAATTGAAGTCGAACAAAACAGAGATTTCTAAATTTGTTAGAACATTTTAATTTTCTTTCATTCCTTGTATTTTCGAATGATTGTTTTCCACGTATTTTATTTTATAAACCGACATTTTTATCATATTTATTCAATTTGTAGTCATGATTAAATAAATTCAGATATATATATATATATATATATATATATATATATATATATATATATATATATATATATATATATATATATATATATATATAATATATAATATATATTACTTGCTAAATAAGTTTTATATGGTACATATTGCTGGTTCTACGTGATGTGTCTGTTGGTTTTTACATCTTAGTGCTGAATCTTGTTTTTTTTTTTTTTTTTTGCGTAAATCTGTTCAATGATACCATACTACTTTATTTTTAGTTAACTAATATTTAGAATGACGCAGAAGCGGGAAACACAAGTAAAACAAAAAATTAATCAACGGTTAACTGAGACCGGCGAAAAAGAACGTCTACAAGACATGTTACGAGCTCGTCTAATTGAGAGTGGCTGGCGAGAAGAGTTAAAAGAATATGCTCGTCAAATAGTGAAGGAAAAAGGAATTGACAATGTTACGGTTGACGAACTAGTAGCCGAGTTAACGCCAAGAGCAAGAGCCCGAGTTCCAGATGAAGTGAAAAAAGAATTGTTACATAGCATTAGAGAATTTCTTGCAGACAAATGATTTCTTTAAATCCGATTTTTTTAAATGTATATCTTGCTTTTTTAAATTCGTCGCGTTTGGCTGATGTTGATGTAACAGTTATATTTACTCGTTTCCCTGTTGGACTGGTTATATTTGAACTATGGTATTACAGATTGTGTAGAGTTCTAAACGCTCTTGTTATATATTTTTGTGAGTATGGCTGTAATATACAGAACTGAACGAAGCCAGCAATAAAGATTTAAATAGTATATATATATATACTATTTAAATCTTTATAAGTATAATAAATAAATATAAAGATTTAAATATATATAATATATATATATATATATATATATATATATATATATATATATATATATATATATATATATATACACTTAGTTATGTAGTTTATTTAGTTGTATATTTACTAGGTACGGTATTGCTTTTCTCGAGATTTTGTATTTAGGAAATGGTTTCGATTTGAAAAAGTCTAGTTCTTGTATCAATTTTAAACATCTTAGTATATACGAAAAATATATATATTTTTTTAATTTTAAATTAAAACTTTGCAACAGAATTATTCATCAAGGTTTAATTTTAAATAATAAATATAAATCTTAAATATAGTTTAATTAAGGACAATCGATAAATTTGATTGATAAGGAATCCGAGTTTGATTTAATGGAATCATTAAATTGAATGAATTTATCATATAATTTATCAAATATTTTCGAGGTTCTGAATTAAACGTTTTTATTGTAAAAAGCAGTCCTTACCGTGCTTACACTGCGTACCCTGCGGTCAGTAGTTTAGGCGGGATCGTTTTTAAAAGTGGTCTTTAAACAGGTTTAAAAACCATTTTTTTTAGTTGTTAGTATTGTTAGCATATCGCATTTAATGATATTTTATCAATCTTGAGGAACACGGTTTTCTTATTTTTTGAATTGAAAAGTTTGAAAAGAATTTTAATTTAGGTGTATTTACTCATGCTTTATGTAATAAATTACGTAACATTATTGTAGCACTAATTTGACACAAGTCCTATTTTAAAATCTGATAAAATAGTTAAAAAATATTGTAAATATGCAGGTAAAATATATTGTAAGTATGCAGGTGCTTATATATATATATATATATATATATATATATATATATATATATATATATATATATATATATATATATATATATATATATATATATATATATATCAGGGTATCCAACAACTTAGAAAAGTCAAAGGAATTCTAAACTAAAAATGTCAAAAAGTCAGGGAGTATATTAGGTTTTGCAAAAGTTATGGAAAAGTCAGCGAGTTTTGATGGATTTAGTAAAAAAAAAAATTATTTTTTGCTTATTGGAGACTAAGATTCAAATTTTTTTTTTTTTACTTCGTATTTTGTTTTCTGGTTAAAATTGTCTTAAATTCAACGACGAAAACTCATTTTAATTTCAAAGCTGCAAAACGAATGGTTGATTTTTTTATTAATTCTAATCATGCGTTTTCAAAATTCCAAGAATTGTTAACAACGATTCAATAGTGTATATGTATTTTAGGACCATTGTTGTTCATAATTTTCTTAAATGATTAAGCACTCTCAGTCATTTGAGCATCATAAAGTATGCAAACAAAACAGTAATAAAATTTCTAGCAAGGAATACAGTTTTATTAGACAGGCTATCAGAAGACCTAGAAAACGTTTCTCATTATTTTGATACCAACAAATTTATTTATTTAAATTAAACGAATTTACTGTATGCATTAGGAGTAAAGTTTACTCCTAAACTATATGCATACAGTAGATGATTCTAGTACAACTCCTACGTCATATGGGATCTATGCTATAGTAAAGTTTTAAAGCAAATAAATGACCCTATCTTGAGATATTGCATTCTGCTTATTTTTCTTTTTATGTGTTTTTAGATTTGGGTAAGCGAGGCAATAAAAAGAATTTTATTTACAAATTATTTTAAAATTTGTATATTTTAGTTTTTTATATATAAAACTTCTAATTTGTAACTTTTTAATATATTATTTAACATTTTAATAATAGCAATAATAAAAATTTCAATATTTATGAGTGATATTGGTTTTTGTTTAACTAGACTTGAAACACTGTGTGTTGTTAATAACTACTTGGTTTATTCAAATCAAACGTTTTGATGACAGCGAATTTACACTTACTCATTTATTAGACGTCGATAAGCTATCGCTTAGAACTTTAAATAATATGCGGTCAAACCATGATATGTAATAAGCTTCTGTTTTAGAATCAAAGTTAAATGTTCCTAATAATGACGTGCGTCTCATGAAAAGTTACATTATGACTTCTGACGAAGCTTTGATAGAACCTGCAAACAAGAAAATAATAGTACAAAATAAAAAGAACGAAATACAAGCTAGAAAGGTTTTACGTGAAAAACAATACAGGAGGGTAATTCAATTAGGACTCAAAAACGCTTGGCAAAGAAGCTGGTTTGTTTAACGAACCTTTTATTAAACAACGGAAATGACAACTAGTTGAGGTAACCAAAGTTCCGACTATATCAGAATCCAAATGCGACTTTCATATATCAAGACTGTTAACCTAATGGTTCTTTGAGTTCAAAAAAATGTCAAGCATATGACACTTTTTTTGGAGATAAAATTACAACTCAACAACAATTATGAATGCTTAGCGAATCCTGTGACAATTGGTTGTGTGGATCTTGCTATTCTACTTTGGTCGGCAGTATGTGCAAGAATTGCCAATAAAAATACAAACCTAATAAAAAAACTTTTAAAGCAATAATAATTATAATAATAAACATATAAAGCAAAGAAGTGTTTTTTTGTTAATTTTTAAATAGGCTTTTTTAACCTTTTTAAACTAATTGAAAAGTATATTTTTAATTTTATTAACCAGTGGAATAACAAAAGTGATAAATGCTAAAGTAATAAAATAGTCAACTAATTATGTTAAAAAAACAAAAACAAAGACTATTTATACTTAAAAAAAAAACATTTTTTATTTGCTACTTTTTATTTTTTATGGCGCCTCAAATATTTTTTTTTTTTTGAGCCTAGGACAACGCCCTCCTTGGTTACTGGTAATTCCTGATATTAAATTATCGTTTTACTATAAAACAACATTTAAAAATTTAGTTTTCATTATTTATGAGATTAAGTTTGTGATGCGTTATAAGGATATATTTAGCGACCGAACTTATGAGATGGTATTGAAAGTTCCTACGAGTATTTGTTTTTAAAAGTTACGTTCTAAATGTCTTTTGAACGTTTTTTAAACGTCTTTTAAACATTCTTTACGTAAGAATGTCTAGAAGACGTTTAAAGGACATTTAAAATACATTTCACTTTTTATTTAATTTATTTTTTACTCAACAATGTGGAGAGTTTATTTTAAATTTGAAAACACATGAAGAAGCTTTAAACCTAAAGAAGAATTCTGATGTTACTCTTAATGGAAGAAGAGTTTAATTTATCATTAACTTTGACATACTGCTCAAGACCCGGTGTAGCGGTAAATTAAGACTCCAGGAAATTAGGACTTTGAAGTCTTGATTTTCCGGGAAATCAAGACTTTGAAGGTAAATTTGACGGAAAAATTTGATGTTATGAGTAATATGTTATATAAAAAAATTTTTTTTTTTTGAAAAACTGTAAATAGAATTTAGAATAAAATCAAAGTTGATTCGAACGCAAAAGCATGTTTAAATAATGCACTATAATTGTTTCATACGTAAACAAATAAATAAATTTTACAAATAAACACAAGTGTGCTGCTTCATGGCGAAGGAAAGAAAACATTTTGATTTTGATAACATAGAAGATTATCTTTTACTATATCTACACATGATTATGGGATTAAATCAAATTTTCGAAGAGCAGCAAAACGGTTTGAAAGGAAAGACGGAGATTTATTTTATAATAAAAGAATGGTTATTAAAGACAAAAAAACTCCAAATGGAAGTTATTAGAGACGTACACCGAGGTATTGGAGTTTCTTAACACTTTAAGGCAATGGCCTCACATAGAGGAAAAAACTCTACGTATGACAATATTGCGCAAAGATTTTTTTGGTATAATATTGCTGCTGATGTTAGTAAGTATATTAGTAGCTGCGAACAATGTCAAAAACAAGGTGACCTAAAGTCTCCAAAAGTAGAATTGAAGTCTATACCAGTACCATCAAGTGTAATGGAACAAGTTGGAGTGGACATTTCTAATCTTCCAGTAGTCGATGGGTATCGTCATATCAATGTCTTGATCGACTATTTTTCAAAATGGTCGGAGGCTAAACCTATCAAAGAAAAATCAGCTCAAACTTTTTATATATATGGGCTTTCCAAGAAATCGTTTCGTCAATAATTATCACAAGAAATTTAACGGTTTTAGTTCTTTCGATATTTATGTTATCAATTTTTAGTAATGGTAGCATTCTTGGTATATTATTTTTTTGATGGTTGGAATGAAATAAGATGTATTTTGTTTTTTCTGTATTTAAAGATAATTTATTTACTTTAAACCAGGTGTTTAGATTCTCAAGGTCATCGTTCACAGATTCAAAGAGATTTTCAATTGATGCTGATGAATAAAACAAATTTGTGTCATCAGCAAACATTACTGCATCAAGTTTTTTTAGGGATTGTGGAAGATCGTTAATATAAATTAAAAATAAAATAGGGCCAAGAATGGAACCTTGGGGAACTCCGCATTTAATTTCTAGTAAATTTGAATATTTATTATCGTTTGAGATAACGCATTGTTGTCTGTTGCATAAATAACTTTTAAACCAATTAAGGGCAGTATTTTTTATTCCGTATTTTTCCATTTTTTTAAGTAAAATATCATGATTAATTGTGTCAAATGCTTTGGATAGGTCTATAAATGTTCCTAATACAAATTGCTTTTTATTAAAAGAATCACTTATGCTATTAACTATATCTAAAATTGCATGTTCTGTCGAGTGTTGTGATTGAAAACCGAATTGTTTTTTATCTAAGAGTTTGTTTTGAATTAGATATTCATATAGTCTATTGTAGATTATTCGTTCAAGTATTTTAGAAAAAATTGGAAGAATTGAAATTGGTCTGTAATTATTTATTTGATATGTTTCACCGGTTTTAAAAATAGGTATAGTTTTAGCTACTTTTAATTTATCTGGTACAGTTCCAGTTTTAATTGATGATTTGAAAACTTCAAAAATAGGTTTGCGTATCTGCGAAGAGACATTAGCAACAATATTACTGCTAATGTCATCTACACCTGGAGACTTGTTTATTTTGATAGAGTTTATTGCATTTTCGAGTTCATCAATTATGTTGACAAAAAAACTGTTAAATTTTTCTGAAATTACATTATAATCGTCATACTCATTATTATCTATGACAATTTGTGCAGGTAAACTATTTGATTTGCAGTGTTTAGTCCCAATTATTTCTTTTATGATATCCCAAGTTTTTTTAATATTACCATTTGAGTTTTTTATTTTATTTGAGTAATAGTTTTTCTTCGAATTTTTTTAAATTTTTTCAAACAAGTTTTTATACTGTTTGTAAACATTTAGGTTTGCCTCACTTCTATTTTTTAAGTATTTGATATAAAGTTTTTTGGAGGATTTATTAATACCTTTGGTGATCCAAGGACATTTTAAATATTTTTCTTTTATTAATTTTTCTTTTATTGGGAAATGCATATTATAGTTTTTTAGAAAAATTTTTTCAAAGTAATTATAAGCAGAGTTTGTGTTCCCAAGGTTGCATTCTTGGTATACCTTGTCCCATTGTTCTGCCGATAGTGAGTCTTTAAATTGTTGAATACCAAATTTGTTGATTTTCCTTTTATAAATTTTTATTTTACAACTATTTATAGATTTTATATCTTGTGTCAAGGAGAAGAAAACAGGAAAATGATCAGAAATGTCTGTCTTTATTATTCCTGCCTTTAGAGAAGTATCAAAGATTGAATTAGTTAATATATTGTCATTGCAGAGACTGAAGTTGGAGTTACTCGGGTTGGTTTATTAATAATTGGGAAGATGTAATATTGAAGCATTTCGTCAAAAAAAAGTTTAATATTGGCATTTTTTTCATATTGTAAACAATCTATGTTTATATCACCAATACAGAATATTTTTTTTTGCTCATTGTTGTTTTTTATAAAAATTTGTTTTAAATGATTGGAAAATTTTAATAAATCACCTTCAGGCGGTCAGTAACATGTGGAGACCAGTATGTTTTTTGATTTGTTGCTAGTTATTTCAATTGTAAAGACCTCACTATCGGCATCGGCATCTGAGGTCGAAAGGTCTTCTCTTATTTTAGTAATTTGATCATTCCTAATATAAGTTATAATTCCACCTCCCCTTTTGTTAGTTTTTCTTTCAAACGAACTTGTACTTAGGAATTTCTAAACTTGAGTTTATTCTGCATGATTCGTCAGAACACCACATTTCTGTTATGCATATCATACTGAATAGATAATCGCATTTAATAAGAAAATATTTTACCCTATACATGTTGTTATTAATACTTCTTATGTTAATGTGTATTACCGTAAATTACTCTTTAAGGTTTTTAGTTCGTTTTTAAAAGTTTTTATTTCAAAGAAGGATGAGCTAAAATTCTTTTCGTTAAAAAAATGCAAATCAGCGTCAGTAAAGTCATTAAGTAACACATTTGCCGATTTGAAAACATTAACCCAGCAAACATGTCAGCGTTGAATCAACGTTGAAAACCGGTCGCAAAAGATGTTGCGGAAACGTTGACAAAGTAATCAATTTTGCAAAGATATGTCACGTTGTTAAAGAGACGTTGATTAAACGTTGTAGCGTAACGTTGAAAAAACGTTACTAAAAGACGTTACTAAAATGTCTCAACTAAACGTTGAAAAAGCGTTACTTAAAAAGCGTTGCATAGGCGCCGCAACTTAACGTTGAAAAAACGTTACTTGAAAAGTGTTACTTTAACGTTGTTAAAGCAGTTGATTTTGCAAGGATTTGTAACGTTGGTAGTAAAACGTCGATTTAACGTGACTCAAAGACGTCGAGTAAAGGTTGAAATATAACGTTAAATCAACGCTCAAATGCGCTGGATAAAATATCGCAAAATATTATTAAACGTGATTAAACTTGGTTATAATGTATATTGAATTTGCAAATAAAACAAAATTGTATGTTGAACTCTGCACTTGCAATATTTCCAAAGTCGATTTTTAATACAAATAGTAATATACAATGAAAAACATAAAAAATATACAATTTATTTATATAAAATTTACAATTTATAGAAAAAAATATAAACATCTTTTTTAAGATTTATGTGTGTGAGTGAATTTACAGGATTTATGTGTGTGAATAAAATTTATGTGTGTGAGTGGATTTACAGGATATCGTATCGATAAGCCAGGATATCATTGAGATACAGAATTTAAATCAAAAAATAAAACTTGTATCATTATCAATCTGAAAGCAAATGTTTAAAAAATGTTATTGAATTAGTATGATTATTATTAAATTTAAAAAGTATATATATATATATATATATATATATATATATATATATATATATATATATATATATATATATATATATATATATATATATATATATATATATATATATATATATATATTGTGATTGTCGTAATAACATAAAATAAGAAATTGTTTTTAAAAATAACAAGACGTTTTTTATTCTTGAAATGTTTTGTAGTAAACAACTGGGGTTGATATTTGACTGGGGTCGGGGCTGGGTTTGATAAAATATAGCCGGGGCCTGGGCCGGTGTTGAGACCAGGCTGCATAAACATTTATACATCCTAAAGTATATTTTATAAATTTAAAATTCAGGCTATATTTTGTATATATATGCATTTATGAACTTCATTGTGTTCAACATGATCATCATAATCAACATAACCATCATCATCACCATCACCATCATGATTATCATAATCATCATGATCATCATTATCATCAACAGCATAAAAGCGAAAAGCTTGACAATGATAATAAAAATTATGTTGATGTTGTTGATCGTCATCATGATAATTTTCTTACTTCTACCACAACCATTTTATACTGAAGCTGCTACCACTCTACATGTTAATACCTGAATTACTTTAACTTTTTCTGAAAAAAAAGGTTGTTTGATACAATGTTTTTTCTAATCTGTCTAAGAATATGCCTACTTTTTATATCTTGTTAGAGTCACACCACACATCCATCTGATCATTTTCTTTTTAGGCAAATACTACACTATATAAATACTAAAGTTTATACAACAATGAAAGGATATTGTATCCCCAGCATCTAAACAAATAGCAAACAAATATGCTTATATCCATAATATGTGTGCAAAAAGTGCATCTTGGGTGCTTA